AAATATAAAAGAAGAGTATCTAAATATACAACTAAAAGTGAAGGTAACTGCATAATATATTATTATAAAATTTGGCAAAAGCTTTCATTTTTCAAGATATGCTCTGGGTATGGTATGTCAGATATGTATCTGAAATTATTGGCAATTCTAATCCTCTAACTAACTCACCACCAAACCAGAACCTCAAAAGTTACTCGAAAGTGCATGAAACCGAAGCACAGAAATTTTTCACTTAATTTTGCTAGCATTTTTCTATAATTTTAGCCAGATATTTGGGCACAATAACTTGGCAACCAAAAAGTGATCTGAAACTGGCGAACTATTAGAATCTTTCTAGTTCCCTGCCAGTGTCATGATAGTTCTAGGCTCTATTAGGTCACTATTATGGTGCCAAGTTGGATCCTCAAATCATGTATCCTAAGAATTATACTATAATATTAGCCAAAATTAACCACAAATTTACTGCGCCACCCAATGCAATATTTTTTTTACCACATTTTGGTATTTTAATAGGCAACTGAATAGATGCAAAAAGGTAAGTACCTCAATATAGAATCAAGTACCCAGACCAGCACAGAGGGCCAGCACCTCCAATATAAAACTAGGCATCTAAACAGGTATAGAAGGCCAGTATAAACAATATAGAATTTGATATATAAATGTATTAGAAACAAGAAGGAAATAGCAGTATTTAAATCATATACTAGTAGTTAGATTAAATAGTAGATGGTAGTTAGATTGTATGGTGGTAAAATATAAATATTAGAAAAAGTTCAAAGAGATAGCTAGAACATAAAATAAATATCCAATATAGAAAATATATAGATTATATAGTAGTAATTAGATCACATGTTTAGATTATATAGTGTTTATTGGATTATATTATTTAGATCATATAATGGTGCTCAGATTATATAGTGCTATTTAGACTATATAGAAATATCTAGATTATATAATGATATTTGGATTATATAGTGGTATCTAGATTATATAATCTAACCTAAGTGGGATGGATACTATCTATAATATAATTATATTATTGATAGTATCCTACTCATATAAAATATGCATTTAATCTCATCTCTAGTTCAGTAGTTATACAATACATCTTATAAGTTCCACTGCGCTCTTATTATTAATCAACTTATGAGTGTTATAAGATGTAACTTTTAGAAGTTTAAATTATTAATTTAATTGTTTCATCCGAACTAGCAAGTCATTAGCATGATAAATATTCAATAAATTTTTATATTGACAGAGTATTAATCAGGAATATAGTAATGATGTTTGACAAACTTATGTGGCCTAACAAAATTATGTAGTTTCGTCATTTTATCAATGACAAAACTTACAGTTATGTTAATTTCATTATCAATTTGTTAATGGCAAAAGAGTTTTGTAGGGCATCTATAGAGTATATTGATAAAACCCTAACTTATGCAATACATCTATTAAGTTTTTAAAAAGACGTTCTTTATTTATTTATTGTGATTAGTAAATCTTTTAGTTATATATCTTTATGTCATAGAATGTTTGTGCTTATGTCATTATTAAGTTTTTAAGCTATATGATTGTTATACAATACTATGTCGTAAGTTTCATAGATAAATTGTTATTAGATTTTTAAGTTATATAACTATATCTTGTGATAATAAATGATATTTATATATAAAAATTTTTATTTTTTGCTAGATTCTTAGTTCAATATATATATAAAAGAACCACAGCATAAAAGAAGTAATTAAAGGAGTAATTAGACTTATTCGTTATATATATTTTTATATATACATATGTATATTATACATTGCAGAAGCTTCTATAATTTTGAGCATGGTCAAAATAAGTCTCAATCAAGTTCATCAAAAAACAAAGATAGAGGCTATAATAAGTCAAAAGAGAAAGAAAGCCAAAATAAAGGAGTAAGCCTTATCTCTGCGATTGCATATCTACATTATACTATAATTTATACAATTAATATATTTTTCAGACCAAGTCACTTCATTAACACGACAAGAGATTCAAAATTTGTTTGAAGAATTTCTTAAGAATATAATAAGACCAGAATCAGACATATATAGTAAAGATGAGCAAACCCAAGACAGAGGTTGGTCAACTCAAGGCCAATCAAATAGAGATCGATCAAGATCTCAAGACTGATTGAGCCAGAGTCGATCAAGATCTCAAGACCGATTGAGCCAGAGTTGATCAAGATCTCAAAACTAAAATCGATCAAGATCTCAAGACTGATTGAGCCAGAGTTGATCAAGATCTCAAGACAAACCAAGCCAAAATATTTTTCAATCCATTATTCTTTTTTTTTTTTTTTTTTAATATTGAGGTGACCACTTAGGCCCCTGGCACTTTATTAGTTCAAACGGGTGGGCCGTC